GCACTCGTGATTTCGTTTATACGAAACTTCATCAACTACATTTTGTGTCGCCTCCTACAACAGTTGAAATAAATATGATTATTACATTGAGTGAATTAACCTTTGATGGTTCACTGTTAGGTATGCTTGGAGATGCAATTGCTACTAATCCTGTTTGTATGGAATCTGAATTTCGACGTAAATTTCGAAATCTCTGGGAAAGATATTCTTTAACAGATATCTATTGAAATACAACATAGTAACTATATACAAGTACTAATCATAATTTACCCAATATTCCCCATTAGGTGCATGAAGATCTTTAAGACTGGGGTATTTGTCACAAAGTGCCCGTGACATGTCCTGGTATTCAGCTGGCTTTGGTACTGGACAAATCCCATAAAAGAAAGACGCGCTTTCTCTAAGCATTCTGAGTTTGTCAGTCCCACCCAGTTTATTTTCTGTCAGAGCCATATGAACTGTTTTGGAGAAAACTGTAGGTAAGGGGCATGGAATAGGAAGTCTCTTTTTATCAACATCGCTAGACAACTTGATTCGTTTTGGTTTTTGAGGTGTTGTTTTGTTAGATAATGGGTGTTTGATAAAGCTTTGAGATGATATTGCTTCTATAAATTTTAATTAATTACAATAAGTCATTATTATAATATTAACTATATAATTATACCTTCAAGTTCATAAATTTCTCCACTTTCTTCAGGAAAATGAGATGTAATACCCATAGCAACTAATAGCTCTGATTCTAATGTGCTCTGTGATGCTTTGATTGACATGTCCTCTGAATCAAAGGATAACAGATTGTTAGCTTCCTACATATATATATAATGGGCAATCATAGTGGCACAGAAGGTATAGATTATGATAACCTTAAGTTCTTGAACTATTTTCTTAATTTTCATTCTCAGGGCACTCTGTGGTACTAAATGTTGAAACTCATCTAAATCAGCAACCAAGGATAGCAGAGATTGACCATCAATATAGTTTTCTATTATAGTTTAGCATAATGTATAATACAATACTGTAAATTATTATTATTACAATGAGTGTTATGTTACCAAACAATGTGTTAATGACTGCATCCGGAAGTCCTCTCCTTTTCAGCGCTTTGCTTATGTCTTCCGCTGTAGCATCAAGGATATTCATAGTAATGACAGAGCTTGAAAGTACACCTCCAGCTATGTTATCTTTCCAAAAGCAGCTGTACTTGTAGTAATTCAAACAACAGTTTCTATGGATACGCCCGCCAATTTTGATAGTCTGATGAGTGATAATGTCGGTGTATTATTGTGACTATTGCGACTTCCAGTGTTTTGGGACTATAGCTTTACTAAAGCATCTAAGAATTTGTCACGAGAATGATCCCAACTTTCAAGTCTACTGCCACTTATGTGGCATGTCATTTAAAAAGTGGGAAAGTTTGAGAAAGCATGTTCAGAGGAGTCATAGTCATCACTTCACTCCACAACTCAACTCCACCAGCAGAAGGTAAAAGTAATTTGTACACATGAATATGATTAGTTGCATGCATGAATAGATGTCTTAGAAGATCATAGCTTCTCAAATGACCAGGAAGAATCTTCACAGCCATGCAATTCCACCCATGCAGTTGTTCCATTCGCCGACCCGGGCCTTGAATCAAATGAAGGATTAACAGAGAGGGGAGCAGCATTGTTCTTAATGAGGGTAACAGATCAGGTTTCTCTTAGTCACACGGGAGTAGACAAGCTATGTTCATCTACCCAATGGTTTTTAGATTCTGTTACTGATTCTATAGCTGATAAGGTGCAGGATTGCCTTCGACAATCAGGAATCACGAATCAGCAAGTTTTAAGTGATGTAGCTGATGCTTGTCGCCCCCCAGATGTCTTTTCTAACTTGTCCTCTCGACATTACCGGGATCAATACTTTGAAAAGAACTTCCACTATGTGGTAAATACATGTACATGTCAATTAATACCCATGTTATGATACCTTCATATATACATTATGATTAGAAACCAGAACCTATTTACCTAGGCAGTGAATGGGAATGGAAGGATGTGAATGGGACAAAGAATCTTCAAGAAATCCATCAGCATGGATATTATATTAGCCTCATATCAACATTAAAAGTATGAATGTGTATTAATAATAATACATAATATAATATACATGTACACATATACATAGGGTTTGCTGAATAATCCAGCTGTGTATAAAGAAACAGAAATGTGTCACCGAAGCACAGACGGTGTCTTAAGAGACTTCTGTGATGGTGAATTTTTCTCACAGCATCCTGTATTCAGCCGACATAATGATGCACTTCAGATTATTCTGTATTATGATGATATTGAGGTGGCTAACCCATTGGGTTCTAGAGCTGGAAATCATAAATTAGGTATGACAACATTTACACAGCAATGAAACAATCACACATATGCATGTACATGTATAGGCTGTTTCTACTTCACACTTGGAAACATTCACCCAATGTACAGATCAACCCTTTCATCCATATTTGTGCTCGCTATCACTAAATCAAGTCTTCTCCGTGAGTACAC